TGCCATGACGGAATGACAGCCCTGGAGACTTGTCAATACATAGAAAAGATGGTATCGATTGTACCTTACCAATTCGAGCCGGAGTCTGATGATGAAACGGTTGAACTGGCTGATCGACAAGAGACTGATTAGCAAGCACGAATGGAGCAGGACATTTCTCAGTGGTAAGTGTTAACAAGTTTGTGGTAATTATAAGATGTGATAAAACAAATTTACTCTCACAGCGTAGGATACAGCGTCTTCTCGACATGATGTTAACCACACAGAAATGTTAATTTCCGTTTGTGGGCGGGCAAGTTGGCGATGTAGAACGTGGGCAGACATTATGCAAATGTATTACTTCGTGACGTAGCGCCGTAACAGAATAAGATTCGAATTCCTGACGACTCGTTTAGGCGATTGCGAGCCGACACACTGCATGAAAGGTAATATTTGAACAGGCATAATAGGGGCACTTTAAAACATATTTTTATTGCAATATGATGGGTTTGGTATGATAATGAGTGATTTAATTGACTTATGTGATTTTAGAATTTTCTTTGATTAGGAAATGTAAAAATTTTGTATATTATGATAATCAAGTATAATGGTAAAACTAATACTTTTATCTTTTATTATTACAGTTGTCCTGCCTTCCTTTGGAAATTAAAATTTTATGTTTTTTTAATACATAATTTCTTCTTGGGCCTTTTACCTTTAAGTTGCATTTTAATATGTGTTACCAAAATGTCACAACAGTTGGAAATGTAACCTTACAAAAAATATACCTTGGAAAAACATTTGGCTGCATGTAATTTACAATGTTATTCGAATATGATTAAGTTTGTTATGATAATTTGAATAGGAGTAGTTTAGTTGACTATGTAATTCCTATGATTTTTTATTTTTTTATTGTTCAGGACAGGTATAATTTAGGTAAACTCAAATTCCTAAAGGCCTTTTTGTTCCTTAAAAACTGAATTTCTACTGCCTTTGGAAAAATTTTATGTAATGTTCTTCAGTACTTCGTAGTGTTTTTTTTTCCCCCAGAATTTTCTGTGGTGACTTTTATTTTGATATGCACTAACAGGATGTCAAAACACAACAGTTTAGCTTTGCACAGTTTATCCATTTGGCTGTATGTAGTGATATTAATTATAATGTTCAAACTGATATGTTTCTGTATGAATAGGATGTTCTTTCTGTGTGTTTCTTACCCCCAAAGTAGGAGCCGTCAGAGAGCTTCATGCCAATACTCCCTTTGGTCAGTACGCTGACTACGCCATGCTGAATGAAGTACATCTTCTTGCCGATGGTTCCTTCACGAATGATGTAATCTCCTGGTTGGAAGACCTCGAAGCGGAGTTTAGTTAGCATTGCTGTCACAAAGTTGGGATCTGCATTGGCGAAGAGCGGCATGGACGCCACCAGCTTCCGGCAGTTGAAGTTGACAATTTCCTGGAAATGCAGAAGTGAGTTACTGTCAGTTCGAAGGCAGGTTATCAGTTGTGTATTGTTTTCTGCTGCTAAATGGTACCTCTCGTAACGGCTCGTTCAGTTCTTCCAAAATGCTTTCCTCGTCGAACATCTTGCCCTGGTATCTGTGCTCATAGTAATCATGGATCTTCTGTCGGAAGTCAGCCGGAAGTTTGTGGAAAGACATGTACTGCTCAACTTGCTTGTACTGAGAACAAAAAAGGACACAGGATAAATTATGTTAAACTGACATTTCAGGACACACTTTTGACCCAAAATTTCCAACCACCAACATTTGGGTTGCCCATTTGAATCCTATACGTGGCCTCTTTTGTGGAGACATGATATGCTGACAGGGATCATTATATACAAATTAAAGTAAATATTTAAACATCCAGGCTTGTTTTTCTGTATGGGCATTCCTGCGGAAGTTATTTACAGTGGATGTCATAGACTAAAGAGTATATGATAATATGATGTTCTCAAAGCAGGAAGAGTATGATAAGCTCTATTCATAGCACAGTAGTTAACCTTTTCTGCATCATTGCCTGTCATTGTTGTGATGGCTTTCTGGTTTATGTTACAGGAATATACAGTACATTTATTGCATTAAATGGTTTTGGCTATGTATGATGTGTAGAAATTAGATTACATAAAACAAATTATATATGTATGGATGATTCAAAAGCATATCATTGATTCTTAAAACACAGATCTACTGCAGATCAGCCATTAGTTTTTAATGAACAACATTTATACTCTAGAACTAATAAGAGACGATCTCTAGAATATTTTTAACACGCTCTCCATATGATTAGATGTTTTTTATGATTTTTTTCTTTCAAAATGCATAACTCCGTATTTAATGTAGATCTTGAACTAACTTCATTACTTTTATGTCCTGCAAAAAGGAAGAGGTTTGTTTTAGTAAATTTTCTGTTACAATGTGTCTGGATGGATGGATGGATAGATTTTGATGTCTTGTCACTGAAGCAGTCAAGATCTCACATTCCATCAACACTTATTACCAAGAAGGGAGGCTATTTACAGTATAGGGGTGTGCTAAATTTGAACATTATTTCAAAGGCAGTGTTAAAGGTAAGACGTCTTCTGCAGCCTCTCAGACCTCATATTCCAACATAACCCAACTATAGCAGGTCATGTGCACACCAGGATAATGACGTATGGGAAGGTTGATGCTCCTTAGTGACCTCCCAGCTGGATGGATGGTGTTGGTAGGAAAAAGCATGTGGATAATGACTGTCAGTATGTGCGCAGTGACATATGCTCTGCTTGACAAGCCTTGGGTCGATCCTCGAGCTACTAACAGGGTGCAGTCTGTTGCACGTGTTAGTGACAGGTGCTGTCTATTTTACAAGCCATCGTATGGAGGGATTATGTAAGTATTTCCGCCAATTATTGGTGTTTGCTAAAAAAAAGAATCACAGTTACTATTGGTCATAATTATGGCTTGGGATTTTTAAAACACTTTCAATGATTTTTAGAACCCACTGACTTTCATTATATGGACGATAACAGTGCTTCAGAGTGTCTTCTTTTGTGTTCCACAGAAGAAAGTAAGTCATACAGACTTGGAACGACATGAGGGTGTTTTCATTTGTGAGTGAACTATACTATAAAAAGTATTGAACTTCCTGCGTGTATGCTAACAGCCATAGCAGTGCCTTATCACATAAGCATTTTCTTCACAATATGTAAAGAACAGTTATCTTCTCCATATTTGAATCAAAGAACCCAGAAACCAAGACAACCTAGAACCATCCCAAAATGTTGGCGATAAAACTGGTTCTTAAGTGGTTGTACCTTTGCCAGACCTGTGAAAAGGGGTTGAGAAGAAGAAAAGACGTACCAATAGATCTCCGCGCAGTTGTCATGACATTTGCGGCATATTCTTCAACAGATCTGTCAAGATTTTCCACAAAAAATGCTCAGTGTTTTTTCATTCTTGAGTGATCTGATTAGATAACAATGAGCATATTCTGTAGATAGCATTGATAGTTGCGAAATGAGACAAATAACATCACTAATCCTTAAAATCCTTAAAATGTCTCATAATAAAGCTTACAATTCCTGTCAGATGCAGAAAGGCGCTGTATACAGCAGACGTGGCATGTGTGTGTTAGCATGCACACTGTTACTCATCGTCCCTTTGGCAGTGGGTAGGGAATCATGGGAAGTGCAGTGACTGACTTTAATTAGCTCAGAGTGGAAATCCCTATCATAAACCAATTTCATGAAAACCTTTTGTTTCGGTAATCCAGCCCAAATCCTAATCTAATTCAATCTTAATTAATTATGATTGGATAAGGGATTTATACAATCGCACACAACCCAAAGAAACAACTGGGGGGGTCCCAGCATACCATTTTTGCTTTCCACTTTGTATTTCTTTCTGCGTGTAGTAATAGCACAATGCTAATTGCAAAAGGCAAATAACTGGGAATAAGACATCTGTAATGAGCCTAATTTACATGCAAAGGAATACCTCCTTTGGCACTGAAAACATGAATTCATTTAAATACTGAAGGTTTAAAATGCAATAGGGGTGCAAATCCTTAGTAATTTCCCCCAAACTGCTAACATTGACAAAACCATGATTAAACACTCAATATCATGAAAAGTTATCACAAACGCCTCTGTTTACTTGCACACCAACATTTAGCCACCTCCAAATAACAGTGCCTACTTGTCTCGTCAAGCTCGACAAACTCTGTAATTTACGCTTTGTCCCTTTCGATCAAGGAAGTCTATTTTCTCCTCACTTTGGTTCATTCAATCAGCCTTGAAGTAAGACAAGGTGTTAAGCTGAAACGTGAAGACAATTACTTGGACCTTGTTACAATCACTGTTTGAGTCTGTACAGCCAAGGTCTGTGTATTAGCACTGAAAACACTTCAGGAAAGTTTTAATTGCACCAGTCTATAGCTCAGGAAACTGTAGTCTTTATACTCCGATACTCAGCTTCTTTTCTTCCCTCTTGAACTCCTTTGACTCAGCTTCCCTGGGCTATCAGTCTGGATAGAAGAATAAATGAAGGAAGCAAGAATGAATGGTAGGCAGAAAAGTAGAAAGCTATGTGGCTGTAACAAAACAGAGTTAGCATTAGCTTAGTGTCAGTAAAATAAGCTACACATCTGGTGACCTGCACTAAACCTCTGGACAGGTAGATGATCAGATTAACCTGTGTAAGCTTGACGTCATCAAAGAAGCGATGCAATGTTGCGTAATATAGTAGACATAATCAACTTTGTCCTTCCAATATGAATGAATTGACACACTGGTATCAAAATCCTTTCAGGGACAGTTGAACTGAAATTTTTTTTTTTACTTCCATAGCTCACTCACTGTTGTTGCAATGTACAATGTACAGAATTGCTTCTAACCCAAGCTAGCTTACAAATCAATGTGGCTGTAACAAAACAGAGTTAGCATTAGCTTAGTGTCAGTAAAATAAGCTACACATCTGGTGACCTGCACTAAACCTCTGGACAGGTAGATGATCAGATTAACCTGTGTAAGCTTGACGTCATCAAAGAAGCGATGGAATGTTGCGTAATATAGTAGACATAATCAACTTTGTCCTTCCAATATGAATGAATTGACACACTGGTATCAAAATCCTTTCAGGGACAGTTGAACTGAAATTTTTTTTTTTACTTCCATAGCTCACTCACTGTTGTTGCAATGTACAATGTACAGAATTGCTTCTAACCCAAGCTAGCTTACAAATCGCACAGCTCCAGTAAGCACGTGGAAACAAGCTATTAATTATGAACTGAATGTTAGCGCACATGCTAACTGCATGAAATCCTATCCCATTTTCAGGCAGTCCCACAGTTTATCTTCTGTCAGTGACATAAAGGGATGATATATTTCCCATGACCACCTGCCAAAGCATCAAGGTCATCGTAGTCACCAAGGAAGGGGGATGAAAGCCTAAGTCCTGTGTACCATATATCAAGCTTTTGTTCCATATGGACATTGAGTCCATCAGCAGATACACTTATACCATAGATATCCAACGGCAACTAGGATTATGGTGGTTTACCGTTGGGTAATAACCAACATGATGCGAGACCCTTACAACCCTGTAGTCCACAACCTTACACAAAGATCAGAACCACTTACAACAGTAAGGTGGTAATTCTTCTGTAATATTGTTGCCAAAACGACTAAGAACTGTAATATATTATTCAAATGGTTTCCATACATGACGCTGTCGATATGATTTCTTGTGTACAGTTCATGTTGTAGAAAACGCTGTGATCAATATTCTAACATACTGATCTAAGCAGAGACCGCGGTGCGTAATGGTCGATTGATACAGCTCGATCTGTACATCTCAGCAGGTCTGTACGTACAACCACAATTCCCTGGGGTGCAGTAATGTCGAGAGTTGACAGAAACTGATCTGAGACTTGTGTTGTTCTACTCCATGCGAGCATTTGTTAGAGGCCGGACCTAAACAGGTGTTTGAAAGTCAATGTTTAGCAATGTAATGCTTGTTACATAATGGCTAATGTCCCACTCATCTGTCGTTGTCTGGCAATCCATTGGTTTCCACATAGCAGGGGAGATGGACATGTGATGGGATGACGGGGGATCTACACAGGGACATTGTGCTGTTTGTTCATCAGGTTGCAAAGGCGTGAGAAATGTTTTTGTCTGTAAAGAAGGGATTCTCGATTACACTGAAAAATGTGTTCGCCAAACTTCTGCTAAACTTTCTTTCGTAAGCTTTTTGCAATGGCTTTTCTGTGTAAATACATTCCTGCTATTCTAGACATGCAAAAACTTGTGACCATCACAGCAATCCACTTTTTCCTCTCCACCAGTGTGATCCCCTTGATCTAAAATGTGCTCAAAAATCATCAACTTTTTATTGTGTAGTTTGGCACAAATTGCATGTTTATTTTAGATCATGAGGGCAAAACCAGCTTCCTATGGGCCCTTTATCTCATGCAAAGAATGGCTTTTGTTGATATCTTTAGCACGTTCTACTCCCCTGCTGCCGTAGTGGCTCTGTTATCTGACGGCAAGCAGCTCTGTTGCTAGTGATTAATGAAGAAGAAAGTCTGCCGCCTGAGGCGAGATTTGATGAGCTCCACCGAAAGTCCCTTTGGGATTCTCCACATTACATCATTCCTTCAAATGTTGTCATAATATATGTATGTTTAGAGTAGAATTAAAGTTATGCTCTTAATAAAGACTAGCAGGATTACCTTTAAATACATTTTAGTACCTTTGAATGTGCTTTATATATGTAGTGAAACACTACTTATCATCCCAGCTTGATGTGCAGAAACAACTATGTTGTTTCTATAAATTCACTATAAGTAAGCCATTTGTAGGTGGACTTTCCAAATTTTGTAAAATGTTCGACTCAAACAATGGCCTGAGCGAACTTTGAGCAAACAAAGCAAGACATGAGATGCCAGAAAGAGTGGTAGGACAGATTGAGATCTGTTTCAGAAGTTTTCACCCTCCTCCAGGAGACCCACTTCAACTCTAATCAAACACACCTGAACCAGTTAATCCAGCTCTTTGGGATTGCTTAAAAATTACAGCCAGGTGTATTGAAGCAGGTTGGAAATAAACTTTGCAGGACAGTGGGTCTTCAGGAGCATGGTGAAATACCTCTGCTCTATTTAACACTGAATTTGATTGCTGATAAACTTTAAGATATGCTTAATTCAGTTCTGTCCATCTAACTGCTGTACCCCATTTCCTGTAGAAGAAACTTTTGACCCTTTTATCTGACTTGTCAATGTCACTGTCGTATGTAAGAACATGAATGCCATTTTACTCAGGTGGGTATCACATTTCTTTGAAATACAGTATCCCCAAACATTCTTTTCTTTTAAAGCACATGGCAATAACAAAATAATGATCTATTTTTAGGGAAAAGGAGGTTCCAGAAAGGATCTGCTTAATGGAAACAGCACATAGTTAAGAAGTTTGTGACAAAATTGTTTGTGACGACAAGACACGGGTCGCAGGCTAGAGCTGCAGGTGTAAACAAGCACCAGATGCCGTGATTAGGAATCAAAGAAGACCAAATTACAGCAGTTGGAGGGACTGACAACTGATCAGATGAGAGGGAGACCAGATTGCGGAGAATACCCAGAATCCTCAGCCGTAGGGATAGTTGGCCTGAGCAGTTTCATCCTCTCAAACAGACGATAGGTATCGACTTTGATCTGGCAAGATCAAACAAACGGTGACACATAAGAAGGTCATCTGCAGGTGTTTCAGTGTGTGTGTGTGTGTGTGTGTTTGGAGCATAGTACCCACCTTATCCTGGTACTGGCGCCGGGAAGAGTCCAGCGACTGTATGAGGGCGGTGGCGTGGCCAATGAACATGGCGTAGCAGGTGGCTCCTACAATCATACTCAGCATGGTCAACCAGATATCAGACATACTCTCAGGGGCCTGGCGTCCGTACCCAATACACAGCATATGGCTCATGGCCTTGAACAGGGCAAACGAGTACAGCTCGCTCCAGGAGTCGTTCTGCAAATTGGGATGTGAGAAATAAACAGAAAAAGAAAGAGAGACTTTGATTACTTCATCTGCACTAGATACACTTTGGATGTTAATCCTCAAGTCAAAATCTTGGCTCAGAAGGGGTATACCTTTACAAACCCCTATCAAAGGCATCTTGCCAAGTACTTTGGATAGCTACGTACACCATAGACCTGTGATAGATTCATTATTCCATCACTCTGTCTGTGATTTAATGGGACCGCTCTGTTTGTTGTTCAGTCGGGCTCTTGTTATAATGTCTTTGCTCCCCTTGCAAGTATTTGCATAAGACCTCAGCTGCTACGCTAAGGTGCCTCGTCTCTCTTCATAAGTGACTGATTTTTCAGGATTGACCTGATGGGTCCCTGTGAAATGTGGTTAACCTGATTTGCATTCACTTCGAGCTGGGTTAAGACAAGGCTATGAAAATCCAAGTCAAAGTCAAGGAGGCCACGGGTGACTTTGAATGACAAAGCGGGGGAAGAGTTGGAGGTGAAAATGGAAAATGAGGGTGATGGGTAATCAGTGAAATTACTTTGTGGAGATGAGTCGAGAAGTAGCTTAGTAGGGTTGGGATGGAGGAAGCCTCTGTTGAGGCCAGGACACACCTGGCTGCTATCACCAACTGGCAGGTTGGGTGCAAAGACAGGCTACAGTGCACATGGAGTGCAAGTGTCATGGAGAAATATAAATGTGTTCCCAGACTCAACTACACAGTCCTGAGGCAAAAGCAAATGTGTTGCTGCATCCCCAACAATCCTGTCAAGCGCAGATGCAGACAAGACAGAGAAGACATCGACTGGAGTCTAACCCTTTATTTGAGTAACTGCAAGGCTTGGCAGTGTGGAAAGCATGCAGTGTGGGCAGTGTGTCAGGGAGATTGTTTGCTTAGTTCATGTCTGCTTTCCATCTTCTTTACATGGCTGCCTTCCAAGACTTCCAGGCATACCCTGAGCAACAATTTTCTTCTGGGTTAACTGGAACATCTTAGTAAGCACAGAGACAAACAATTAAACATCGAATGAACACAAACTGCTTAAAGTCTACATTATATATTTGAACCCTCCAGACAAATGCATGGAAAAGAAACAAATGTAATTAACACTTCTTTTGTTGATGTTCATTCTTAAATGGATCAGAGTCACACCTTCCACTACGAGACTGATTTCATTTGCAATGAAAGATATTGCATAGTATCAAAACATTCGCCATTCAACACCCCAACACATTATGTGGATAAAAAGGCATTCACAAATTATTTCCTTTTCCCTGCATTTATGGAGGAAAAAAGAGGAAATGTTTAATGCTGCATAATCAGTTTTAAAAGACATGCATTGTAGCGCTGCTAGCATGATTTGGAATGAGCTAAATGAAAGAATAGCACACAGAGTATATTTGGTTGAGCAATTGTGTTTTGGTTATATTTGCCTAACTAGGGCCCTTAACGCACATTTAACCTAGTGTTACTCTCCCCCACTGGCATTGAGATGACGAGACTTAACTTCTAAGTTGATTTAGCTGAGCTTGACTAGCAACGTAGACTGTCATTACTGTGGATTTCTTTGAGATGTATGAGCATAGGATTGTGTCGAGTCTACATTCAGCTGACGGAATCATGACTGAATTGTGCTTATATTAAACACACTAATTAGCAATAATTAGCTGCAATGCAAAGGTTTCCTTTGGCATTGCTTATCTAGTATTTCTATGTGTAAGAGTAAAGATTTGTATATGGTGTAAGAAACAAACCACTTGTAGAAAAATGAATGGGAGAAATCATAGTGCTAAATATGTCAGTTGTAAGAATTTAAGTCCTGCCTTTTCTGTTTAAAGAGCCATTCAGTATATAACAGCTATACTTTACTGCCTCCACAGTAAATAACTCTGCAGGACATTACCAAGATGGTCACCAATGAACTGACCTGCGCTAAAAAGGACTTTGGTAAGAGTCTTTCACTGTGAATGTGTAGATCAGTGATCCTCAAATCTGGCTCGCAGGATCCACTTTCCTGCAGAGTTTAGCTCCAACCCTAATCGAACAACTATACCTGTGATTTTCTAATGATCTGGAAGATATTGATTAGCAAACTCAGGTGTTTGATTAGGGTTAGAGCTAAACTCTGCAGGAAAGTGGATCTCGCGAGCCAGATTTGAGGATCACTGGTGTAGATGAAGACAGGCCATGTTGAGTCCATCTGTATGTGTCTGTGCATGTCTGGGGGATGCTTATCTGAACTTTGAATGGCTCCTCAAGCTTGCAGAGCTCATAAGCAAGACTCTTGAAAAACACACGTGAGCAAGTACCTGTGAATCACACGTGCTTTATGTGGGAATCTAACTGTGCACGGATGGATTTGATGATGCTAGGTCATGGATCACAGGGCACAGCTGGATCAAAAGGGATCAAAAGGTGTATTTCAGTGCATTGATCTATCAGAGGCAAGAAACACAGCGGTAGGTGAAATGTGGCTGAACCACCTGTAACTCATTTATGTTAAGTCAAAATGGAATTTTAATTTGATGTGAGCATGATATTGATGAGTCTCATATGATATTAATGATCGCTGATGTTTTTTTTTCAACCACTATTTAAGACTTAAAGGGATACTCCACCCCAAAATGAAGATTTTGTCATTAATCACTTACCCCCATGTCGTTCCAAACCCCTAAAAGCTTCGTTCGTCTTCGGAACACAATTTAAGATATTTTGGATGAAAACCGGGAGGCTTGTGACTGTCCGATTGACTGCCAAGTAAATTACACTGTCAATGTCCAGAAAAGTATAAAAGACATCGTCAGAATAATCCATCTGCCATCAGTAGATTAACTGTAACGTTATGAAGCGTTTTGTTGAATAAAGTCGTTATTTTAGTTTTCTTCGTGTACAAAAAGTATTTTCGTTGCTTCATAACGTTACGGTTGAACCACTGATGCCAGATGGACTGTTCTGACGATGTCTTTTATACTTTTCTGGACATTGACAGTGTAATTTACTTAGCAGTCAATGGGACAGTCACAAGCCTCCCGGTTTTCATCCAAAATATCTTAAATTGTGTTCCGAAGACGAACAAAGATTTTAGGGGTTTGGAACGACATGGGGGTAAGTGATTAATGACAAAATGTTAATTTTGGGGTGGAGTATCCCTTTAAGATTTTTTTAGGGTCTTACCCTATCTGCAAACAGGAAGGAGGCAAGTGCGTGTAAGTTTGTTTTGGATTGGAACATCATCAGACTTTTTTCAGTATCCTGAATGATGATGCCTATTTAAGTTTTATTATATTCTATCAAATGAAGGAAGGTTTGGAAATTGTCTAGTGTTTTATAGCACCTCTGCTGAAGCTTAACATCTCAGTGAGTGTGACTCACAGGCTTCATTACCACACAAAGACAGGCCTGTTGAGAGACCAAGCGGACACTTGAAATAATGAGACAGATCGTTTAACGCTGCGTCTTTCATTTCAAGCAATCTGCCTTTCGAAAGCTGCTGACCTTGATTGCTAAGCATTGGCAACGACTAGAATGACTGCACTCAAAAACTACTGTTGTAACAAAAGCCAATGAGAAACCTGTCCCCATGTCACATGATCTCTTACAAGTGACAGCATATAAAGAGTGTATATTAATATATAAAGGACGAACAGGCAGGGAAAAACCTAAATAATCAGCATTTATCAGAGTTTAGTCTCACGAGTTTTTCAACTTTTCCATTGGTAAATTCAGTTAGTTGACGACAGTTCACAAACTGTTGCCAGTGGTTTATACCAAGGTTTAAAACAAGCCAGCCCTTTGGTTGTCAAGTGTGGCATTCAGCCCACATGTGAATCCCCAGATAACACAAGTATAAATCATACTCTCAGTTAAGTTGTCTGGCACTGCACACACTTTACCGAGCAAGAGTTCACGATCACTTACTGTATACATCATTGTAGCAAATGTCCAAACAGTGTCTTATCTTCAGACTAGACTAAAAAGCAGGGAGAACTTCTAGAACAGATGGATGATGGTGAGAATTAAGGGAGGGGTGACTCAAAGTGCTGGGCTGACTTGGGAAAGTGAGAAGAGCAGCTGATGGAGTCGGCTCCCCAATGTGCCCATGTGATTAACACTGTCAAACCCTGATGACATCAGTGGAAGCTTTGGCTTTGTGATTTGCTTATTGTGTGGAATTGTTCAAGCATAATTGGAGGACTCAGAGTGACCTTCAACAGAGCCATTTGATGAGTCCAAGATTCAGTTCCTGGACTCAGCGAATGGCTCATTCCTATTTTTGTGTGTAACTGTAGATAATGGTACTTAAACTTTGGGCTACAAAACTTGAACTTGCTATTTGGGAGAGTTTGTGGTACCAAAGCAAATTGGAAAGCAAGACTTACCACCATCTTGTTAAGAGACACCCAACAGTCTGAAGGGAAGTCCTGCAACATGGGCACCAAGAACTGCAGACAGCCATCCCAGTGGCACAAAAGCAGCATCATGCCAATCAGATTGAAGATGCGCATCACCGCACTGGCCAGGTCATAGGTCATGTGAAAGATCTGTCAGTCAAGATAAGAGAAGCATTACATTTAGCAGAAGGGAAGGGCTCTCTAGGACAATCCGGATCAAATTATCAGAACTCTGAAACAGAGACACAGGTAATCCATCTTCTCATATTGAATTTTTGGAGGGATTCCCTTGACAAGGTACTGTTTCAAAAACTTTTTGACCTGAAGATTATCTGTGACCTCTAGATTTGTGAATACGAGCACACATATTAAAACACATAAAAAAAAGGTTTGCCAAAGCTTTATGCAATGAGTACAGTACATCCTACAAACTTCATCCTGTCAGATTAGATTCAATGCAGAACATGTCTGTGAATGATGAAAGTAATGTGCCAAGCTGATACAATGTTCTTCCTGGCAGGACTGGAAGAAAGACTGGAGAGGGGAGAATGTCTCTTAGAGACAGCCATGTGTGCAGTTTGTTTGTGGTTACAAAGTGAAGAGGACAGGACAGCTATTAGAGAGCAATCTGGAGTCAGTCCAGGATAATGCCTTGTGTGGTTGTGCAAGACTGTGTCAACACTTTCTTCCCATACCAGAAACAAAGTTTGTCACACCTGAGAAAAGTCAAGTGCTCCAAATAGCAACTAGGCCAAAATCAGAGATAGAAGAAGACAAGCAGAGACACTAGCTGGCATGGGTTGTCTTTCTAGCTTGAGAAGCAGCAGCACATGGCAGCAGCGCAGGATCTGAGACGATGCAAAACACAAAACTGACTAGAGACTAATATTTGAAGAGAAGCATCATACCTGGAGCTCTTCAACGGTCGGTAGTTAGAGCTGTTTGTTTAGTATATCATTGTTGCTGTGCAGTTCTTGAAAGTCTCTTTAATCAGGGTCACTGGTCTCAAAGCAATGTGGAAGCGCTTATGGGTCTCATGGCACCACCATTTGAACTTGTTGAAATTAATGATCCATACTAAATATAAATACTCTGTTGTCTTCTGTCATGCATACTTACTGTTGTAAGGAGATTGTCAAACATCAGCAGACCAATGTCCTCATGAAAACACTGGCTTGTGCAATCTTTACTTGTGTCTGTAAAATATGATCACCAGGCATGATTTTTAATGCTTTTAGTTTCCACTCTGCAGAATTTAATGTATGCACATTATGACAAGTACTTTAGCAGACTGAATTTCTTTCAGGAATTTTATTCAGTGCCCAACTACAAATATAATTTTTTTGAATATCTGTTTTTGTTACCATAGAAATGCATCAATTAATATATCAATCTAAACATTTTGATTTCTTTGTGTTTTAGTTAACATACAGTTATGTATAAGCTGTATGATCTTAGCATTTACAATGTTTCATTAAATTATAACTGGTCAATATAGACTGAACATCTAAATATTTTGCTTTAGGTTTGTAGTTTATTTGTGTTTTAGCAAGATTTTGATTAGCCTGATAGCTTAGCATAGCATTCACTATTAGCTTGTAGTCTTTTTAACTAACCATTTTGCTTGCTTTTTTAAAATTACATTGCTGTTTGAACGCTAACTAGCCTGATAGCTTAGCATGTCTGAACAAAATAAAAAATGGTCAATCTAAAAATGTTGCTTCGTTTGAGTTTTTATTTTCTTTGTGTTTTAGCAAGATAACAACTGGCCTAATAGCGTAACATAGCATTCACCACTTGTTAACTCTTAATAAAATTAACCATGGTTTTTCAACAAATAATCCAAAAAAACTATGTTTTTCAATGCAACAAATTGACCATGGTTTTACTACACTAACCATAGTTTAACCATGGTATTTCTAGTAAAACTGTAGTTATACAAATAAACATCAATACAGCAAAAAAACATGGGGTCACACTTTATTTTAAGGTCCAGTTCTCGCTATTAACAAACCATTAACTATGACTTTTTCCTCAATAAACTTGTATTTTGCTGCTTATTAATAGTTAGTAAGGTAGTTAAGTTTAGGTATTGGATAGGACTAGGGATGTAGAATATGCTAATGCACAATATGTGCTTTATAAGTACTAATAAATAGCCAATATGTTGATAATAGGCATGATAATAAGCAATTAGATAATAGCGAGAATTGGAACCTATATTAAAGTGTTACCAACCATGGTTACTACACGTTTACTATAATAAAACCATGGTTAATTTTCTACACTCTACACTCTTCTTAGCAAAGGGTTAACAATAAAAGCCTTTTGATTAGCTAACACACATTATGATCATGCTACTGTGGCTAATAAAATGCTTGTCTTCTTGACATGTTTACATGCGGTGCAATATTAGGGTAATGGTAGGGTTACCATATGGGCCATTTTTACGGGACGCACCCTTGCCAGGATTTCTATATTGCCTAAAATATCCAGGTTTTAGCTGTTGCACTGTGCAGATTGATCGTTGTATGACATTATTTCACAAGAGCTATAGAAAGCAGAGCAGACGGCTCTTTATGCTTTCAAATAGCTCTCACTGTACTTTGGCATCATATAATGATCGGGGCGCAGCTTCAAGTTGAAAGAACGAACGAACAAACAAACAAATACGTGCATGTATTTGCATTGCTTTGATCATTCTCACCTTCTCACGCGCGACACGCCACCATGATTGGTCGATTATGTACAATACCTGCATGTTATTGGTCAAACTACTTTGGATGTTTTAGGCAATATAAAAATCCTGGCCAGGACAAGTCCTGTATAAATGGCACATATGGCCACCCTAGGTAATGGGCAAAAACTAAGTGTGCTGTTGGGGTTTTTCTAGCAGTTTATGCCTTTTCCCTGATAAAGGAACACAGTTTAAGCATTTACATGACCTACACGTTATCGGGTTATCATGCTGACTTACAAATGGGTTTCACAACTTGGTCATATCTTTCAGGAGGTCTAACTCATGCTTTGTCCCTGCCTGAGTAATCAAGAGCTATAAGGGGGCCAAACAGTGTGAAGTGGATGTGGCACTGCTGTGCAAGGTTGATTCAGTAATTGAGGGCCATGCCTGGCTCACATTACTACTATGTAATCAGCAGCATAATTGTCCCATTTAGTGGTGAAAAGAACCCAGAAATCTGAATCATCAGTCAGCTCAACCACAGGCAAACGGTCACATTTCTGTCACTCTGAACAGCTGGCTCTCTATGTAATCATCTGAAATGTTCCCAATGTTGGTCATCGTTTTAATGGTAATGCACTGAACTGTTTTTACAATTGTGGTCAGTCAGTTGCTGTTATTAATGTTTTTGATGGTTAATTACTCCAGGCTACGTTGATTAGCCTGTGCACATAATTAGTCACCCACAACAAAACACCTAGAAGGCAGCATTGGAAATCAGTGAAAAGCACCATTGATCACATTCTGCCTCTCGCAATTACAAACAAGAAAAGTGACGTCAATAGGTAAATAAACATTTGGGCTATGTTTGGGATAGAATACTAACTAACTAATTAGAATATAGCTGCGGTATATCGTATTTTTACTGTGCACAGTATGCAAATTTACTGTTTGCACAGAATGTTTGAATGGCCAACTATATTTGCCAAAATCATTATTATTATAATTTATTATGCGGAAGACTGTATCCCACAAGTCAATGTGCTCGGACTTCTGTTTTCAGTGTAAAAAATGAACCATATATCATATATTTATGAGATTAAAGTCAATGTCTTTAGCACTGTTAGTTACAAGAACGTTGCAACATAACATCTGTTGCGATTTTCAGCATATTTCTTGAGTTATTATTTTGACACCAAGTACTCTGATAAAGACAATGTGTGCGAAATATGTTTCGCTGACTTGGCTTGGACCAAGTGACTTGGATTTATCAACTGTTTAATGTTATTTTCAGTCATCCCATGAACGAAAATGTCTTACATTGGAGAAGTCAGCAAGATAAAAGTTAGTAGTATTCAAATGGCGACCACCATCAGGCAACCTACTCAGCGAAAAAAGTGTTTCCGTTTCTACCTGCATCACAATTCAGAAGATCCTGTCTGACTTCAACAATGAAGACGAACAGCAACGGCACTCATCTTACCTCTTCCCATTGATGGATGTAACGAATCAGTCTGGATAGTCTAAGAAGTCGCAGTAAACTGAGGATCTTGGTGAAACGCACAATCCGCAACGCTCTGGCCGTCTTGTAAACCTCAGAGTCAATGCCTTTCTCTACGATGAAAAAGATATAATCCACTGGGATGGACGAGACAAAGTCCACCACAAACCATGTCTTCAGGTACGTCTTCTTGATCTTTTCAGGGTCCAGTATTATCTCAGTGTTGTCTTCATAGACTATGCCTGTGCGGAAGTTCAGTACCAGGTCCATGAGGAAGAACGTGTCGGACACAACGTTGAAGATAATCCAAGGGGTGGTGGTTTCCTCCTTAAAGAAGGTGATGCCCACAGGAATGATAATCAAGTTGCCCACCATAAACATTAGCATTGTGAAATCCCAGTAGAACCTGTGTGGAGAATGAAAGGAATGTGAAAGAACCGGTACGTGAATTAATTTACAGGACATGTGCTTAAATGCATGCGCAAAATGCCACAGAAATGTATAAATTATTTTATTTTAGTTACAGACTACACTTATATGACACTAACAATAGGCATCTCAGTGTATCTCAAACAAAATGTGTGGTATAAAATATATTGACATTTGAGAACATCACAGCACTCAAGGTAAGTGTGGATAAATGAATGATTTAGCTTATTATTATATTAATGAGGATTTTTTGTAACTATTCTCATTTTTGTAGCAATATGTTGGTCTACCATGCTTTTTAAATGCATTTGGAATAAAAGGCACACCCTTACAATAAAAAAAAAGAAAGAGATTCAGTCTTCATGCGTTCGTTGAGACCGGGATACTCCCTATAAATAACCCTAGCCTCAACAAACACGCTGCATGCACACGAGAGGAGAGGCGATATGGGTGTAATAAAACAGCATTCGTTTGATATAGTGTCTGTTGGTTGAGATCAATATTGTGAAATATTGTACCAATTAATAATAGTTACCTCAACCTATGCAAGGTCATCACAAGGACGTTGAGAAATGAATACATGGAACAAAGCAGGATGAAAGCTTATTTTTGAGATCTTGAGAAGGTGAATTAAGGTTTACATGCACATTAAGATCTAAGAAGCTTCTCTTAAGGTGTATCAGTGATTTATTGATTATGTGTGGCGACATGACTGCTGAGCTGTCTGTGGTACTGAAAGCAAAACTTCTGAAAAGATCATAACTGAGCTTTCTCAAGCAAACAATGCCGCTGTAGCTGCTGTGTTCTAATAATAATATGAGCTCCATCACATAAAGCTCTCTTCGCATTTAAATGCAGTGCTCAGTTCGTCTTCTCTCTGAAAACAATAATAGATCACCCACCGGTCTGCACTGCTAGCTTGAACAAATGCATAATATATTTTCTTTTTTTTTCATGCATGCACAGAAAAAAAAGGTGCATGAATGCACATTAACACAATGACCAGAATGCGTAAAAGCATGGATGAGGCATTGCAACCTCATAATGATGCTGATCTTTGGGGGGAAAAAGGAATCTTTTCTTTTATGAGACCACTTGGCTTTTATTATATATCTAAAATATTTAATTAAACTTTGAACTGAGTATCTTACATAAGAGAATGCCTTCTTATTTCTTTCTTATTCTTATAATAATAATAATTATTATTATTATTGACATTATTATGGATCTATTTCAGTAGCAACCATGTGTACTATCAAGAGAGCAAGCACACTTTTGTTTTGTATTTTCATTTGCTTAAATTTGTTTTATAATCATTTATAATCATTAGTCCTTTATATAGTTTCATTTAATTGTGTATTTTTTATGTTGTTATACTTTATATTAATTGTCATTTTAAATATTAATTTTTGGTATTGTTGTTTAATGTCATGATTGTGGGGTTTCAATGTTATATAATTATTATTATTATTAATTCATTTTTTATTGTATTCATTATTTTTATTAAAATCATTTAATTTAGTAGGTTTTTATGACACATGATACTGAACAGTACTTTTTAATTATTGTTTTATTGTTTTTATGTATTTGTTGTTTTATTTTATGACTGATACTCTTATTCTCTCATAATGACTGGCTATTACATAAAAAGTTATTGTTTGCATAAAATGAGTTGTTTCCTGTTGAATGCGCAGTGGTGTACTAACACTATTGAGTGTTATTCTTTGGAGACCCACCAAATGATTGTGAAAAATACTGGTCAAACCAATTATGGGCCTGTCTTTAATCAAAAGTGCATTAGCTACTGCTTAAATTGAAGTAACGATCTTGTATATTAGCCTTTGTTGGAAGTTACTTGATATAAAATGAACCTGTTTGTCCGTGTATTTGAGGAACACCCTCTTGGCTCTGTGTCCTGAGAGATGATGAAGCACAGACCACAGAGGAGACTATATGATTCAAAGTGTTTGCTGGGAGAACAACAAACAACCCATTGAACTATATCATTGAGCTATAGTACTAAACAAGCACTCCACTTTTTAATCACAGCTAAAAATCAGTGGTAAAGCTCCTATAGGAATGTTTTATTCCCACTGTTTTGATAGCATTTCATTCCAGACTTTATCCTGAGAGACTGTGAGGGGATCATTTCTGAAATTTGAAGGAAGTGTCCAGTCTAAATTTCCCTTTGCAGTTTATCCAGCTTTTGCACAAGAGGATTTCCATAAATGTTCTGGTAAATTACACACACCTGATGACGTGAAACAGCTTTAGTGAAGCTGCTGCTGGTGTAAGTTGGCCATCAATGATTAATCTCAGTTTACTAAAAAATCTAATTACCGTAATGTGAGGTCCTAATCCTTACTACGAATTATAATTAGTATTGTGCATTGTGTGTGTTTGATATTCAGGCCTATGAGTTGTTCCATGGAAAGGGTGCCTTTTGTTTCCCTCATCAGCATACGTGTGAATAATGACTCAAAGAAAATGCCAACCGGTACAACTGGAGTTTTTGTAAAACATCTAGAAAAATGTAATACGTTTATTTTTTATTAAATTCAATTGTATTTTTATAGTTTTATTGTATTGCATTGTATTTATTTAAATGAAAACTTGTATTTTGTACTTATCCTCTATTTTCTGTTTATTTTGTGTCAACTCTGTTACCCCAACCCCTTCAATTAAAATCAATTTCTTTTTTAATTTGTCATATCTAATAATTATGTGCCACCTTGTTTGTTAATCACGTCATCTTAAAATGTACATTTGTCAGCAGGGGACATCTGAAATAGTCAACCCTGTTACTGTGATTTGTACAGTAAACATGATATTTAATATTTGATGAAATATCATCATTATAGTCTCCTTTTAATAATTCACATGATGGTACAACCTAGAGCACAAAGGCTAAACAACCTATAAAATGTCAACTCTGTTACTTTTTTATTTAATGACAAAGGTATAAATACGTGCCTCCTTGTTTGTAAATCACCTAATCATAAAATGTTACATTTGTCTCTAGGGGACGATCGTAAATAGTCAACCCCGTTACCATGATCTTGTACAGTTAATTACTGAACACTGAATATTTGTGAATGAATTAAAAAAAATCAGCATTAATGTACCGTATATTCATAATAAACACCTTGTAAAAGTTTTAAGACCTTGGCTAAATGGCTAAAATATTTGTAAAATAAATGAATAAAAATATCAGCATTAAATTCTCTTTCTAATAAACACCTTGTAGTGCACTGACTAAACAAACGTTAAAATGTCATCTCTGTTACTGTTTTTTAAAGGCATAATGGTATCATAAGTAAGTGCCTCCTTGTTTGTTTGTTCATTTATCTAAAAATGTTTGTAAGTAGGGGTCGATCTTAAACAGTCAACCCTGTTACCATAATTTTGTACAGTAAACATCTGATTACTGAACACTACATATTTGTGAATGAATACAAAATCAGCATTAATGTATATTCATAATAAACACCTTGTGTTAAGACCTTGGCTAAATGGCTAAACAACTCTGTTACTTTTTTAAAAAGTACATTTATTTATTTACTTGATATGTGATTTTAATGCAATTTACTCGAACAAAATGTTATATATTTTATGATAAAGTAGTTGTTTGTTGTATGTTTGTTTATACCAGAAAAGACACACATTTTTTATTGTATTCAAACATGAGCACTTGCAACAAGGTATTGAGTCTCCACTGGTGTCACTCCATCATGCCTACCTGAAATCACTGTACGGATGAATAATCCAATTGCCAGCGGATTTGACTCGCTCCTGCTCCTTCTCCACTGCCTTTTGACTCCCAAACATACGCAGTGAGAATTTGTTGACCCCCGGCTGTAGCATGGAGCTAAACTGCCTCTGCATGTAAGTTTGATTGTCCCTGGCTTCCGCATCATCTGCCGTGATCTGGCCATCCTCAGACTTGGGAAAGCTGACAGAACTGCCCGGCTGCTGCTGCTGGTTCGAGGTCGGTCCGTGGGCCGCTGGAGCGCTGGAGAAGGAAACTCTGGAGTCCTTCTCAGCGGGAGGAGCAGCGGCGGTCGGGGCAGGAGTGACCGAGCCGTCCATGCTGGAGGTGCTGGAGTGACATGCAGATGCTGGGAAGCCTCCACCTGTCTGCTTCTCCTGCTTGGAGAGGGTTGAGGACAAGCTCTCGTCTCTTCGGCAGTCTCCGTTGATTACGCATCTCATTCCGGTGCCATCCTCGCCGTCAAACCCGCTCTTGTCGCTGGAAACATCTCCGTGGCAGAGGAGCGCGGTGGATTCCGTGCTGCGTCCAGAGGAGACGGAGGCGAAGTCCTTGTTGTAGGAGATCCTGCTCGCCGCTGCTGTTGCTCCCCCTCCTGGCGTCACATTCTTCATCTTGGAGGAAGAGTCAAGGTTGTCGCCCCTGCGAGTCTCTTTGTGGTCTTCATCGCCATCCTCCGCTTCGTCCATGACGGCGTTGCTTTGAGATGAATCCTGACGCAGAGCCAGATTGCGAAAGCAGTTGCCCACAGTCCTTTACTACGCGTCCTAATGTCACCTAACAACTACACCAGTCGGGTTGCTATAGCTGCACTCGTTCACACCCTTACCTGTACTAAACCACCACAAGCTCTGTGTTCAGATAATGAATGGAGTCAGGAATATGTCATGGATAAATGAGTATCATCTGGAAAATAGGCCGAGATGCGCTATATTATGCGAGTCTCGGTGTTATGCAAATGTAGGTTAGTGGTGTGTAATAGGCTAGTATGTTTGAGGATTCATTATCCAGTTTCACATTTCTTAACATGGTGATTTAGTAAATAAGGATACCTGAAATGAACGAACGAAACGGAAAAAAAATCTAATTTGAATCCTCCATGTTAGAATTTGGGAAACAATTATAACAATTACGCGAACAGCAAATGACACACTGTACTAGCACTTGGTCCTTAAGGGTTAGGCAGGAGGAACCCTAAAAGTCAACATTAGAAACTACATTATCAACTTTAAAATAAGCTTGTTTGACATTATTAAACAGAAAATTGTTAGCCTGACAAAATCAAGTGGCATTTGACCATCCACATGGAATAGTGCACTTAAATGTGCAGCGACGACATGAGTACTGCACATAAAAGTTGTTCATTTAAATTTCAATAATTAAAACTAGCATGTACAATAAAGCGGCTAAACATTAAGGCTTACAGAAAGGGAAACGACTGCTGTCATAAAAACTTGATTCAGCGAGCTATTTGTATACACTAAACATGGTTAAATTCTCATGCGGCTGAACGGTGATTCAATTACACTCGGTAGATGTTTCGGAAAGTTGCGGTGTGTACACTCGTGAGGAACAGTGAAAGAAACTAGAAAGACGGAGGGAAAAAATCCTTCCCACATTAAGAGATTCACTATACACACACTACAGCAAGAATACAATCATGCAGTTTCCCCCCTCCCCCCCAAAACACATTTTAAAAACATCAGCTGGCAGCACAAAATGGATAGGAATAAAAGGAAAAGGAGACCAATTATTATCTCAAGACGTTTACACTCAAGCAGAAGGGTAAGAACTCGCAGGATGCACTATAATGTGCTACTCAGCAACTCAATTCTCCATTTATCTTCAACAGTAGTCATCAGGACACCTGAGAGGAATAATAAAAAATAAAAAACTATAAATATATTTATATTATAAAAATACAAAATACATTTTTTTAATAAATACATTTAAAATAATATATTATTGTTTATATTACACTCGAAGGGAAAAAAATAGAACAAAAGTCACTATTTTTTAAGTAATAAACTACAATTTAAAAAATGTTAAATTATAAATTGTACAGAATTGCAAATGTTATTTGTTTCTATTTTTTAAATATTCAAGTTTAAATATTTCATTACTGTTTATATTAAATAGAATTACATAAATCAACTTTTTCTACAGTTTATATTATACAAGTCCACAGTATAAAAGATACACATTAAAAATAGTAGTAATAAATATTGAACATTATATATTATTATTATTCCTTTTATTATATTTAATGCACGTTTTATATTCTATTATATAATTTTTAATTATAAACTGTATAGAATTATAAGCTGTAATATTGTTTCGATTTATTTTTAAAAACATTTAAATGATCACATATTTCAATACTCTTTATATTAAATGCATAAATATTTTTTTACTACAGTGTATTTATACATGTCTACAATATAAAAGATACACATTAAAAATAAACAGTTGTAATAGTAATTAATATGAGATCACATTTATTATGGTTTATAATATATATATATAAAGTGTATAAAATATAGAACATTAATGTTCCATAAATGGTTTTGTATATTCAATATTAAAAAAATATTATATTCAATTTGCAAATAAGATTTAAAGAATCATATTTCACCTTTTCTCCCTTCTCAGTTGGAGTTCCTTTGCCGGACATTTTTGTCTTTGTGGTTTGTAGCAGCATTGCTCTTCCTGAAAAACACAGTGGCACGTCAGTTCCCTCTTTGATGTGCATATGAATTTCCTGAGCTAGAAGCACATCTAGGGCTACTGTCTAGACTTCAACATGGCCTTGAAGTTCCTTTGAGAAAAAAACTGCCCAAATCACTTCTGCACTTCAACAATATCTCAGCACAAATAATACAAAACACTTACAGTGGTGCAGATCCTGAGTCATCATCTACAGGAACACATGAAAAGAAAAAATAGTTAAACACTCATTTTGACAAATGTACACTACAGTCTATTTGAACTGTTACAGTAGCAGTCTAAAATCTAGTGTGACAGCCTCAAGACAGTGAGAACCGTAAGTTTAAAAGCAGAGCACCTTAATGAGTAATGCGATTTGGTGACTGGAAAATCTTGATAATCTTAATTCAGTTATTTCTACTGCTAAATCTGTACACATCAACTAAACACCGCTATCAATGTTTTCACAGCATTACTAATAATGATTCATGCAGAACAATGCATTTACATCAACCATGCAGTCCATGTTGGATTGAAAGGATATGTTTAGTGGTTTTCAACCCAAGAACAAACGTTTGCAATCAAATATCATTTGTTTGTAGCACAACCTCACCTACAGATGTAGTAGAGAGAAAAACATTGTTCCTTTTCTGCATCAATCATGGTGAAGGCTCTCAAACAGCATTATATCACATTTCTAAACACGTTATGAACCGTATTTCTTCTACTCAAACCGGTTTCGGAACGGTCATAATACAGAGGAACGCAGAAACAGAAACATTAAAATACTGATTCTTCTCGGAGTGAACCGATTGAAATTTTTTTCTTCATTTTCAAGCCCTGATTAGTAGTAGTAAACAAGTTGAATATATTGTAGCAATTCTAATAATACAACTATTAGTACTATAATTATAAATTATTAGAATATAAAAAATATAGTATTCGATATTTTATGTAATATAGTACTTGACAATAAGCTGAATAACAGTAATTATATTAATTACTACCACTATAACAGTTAAATTACCAACAATAATTACTTTATTATTAGTAGTAAACAAGTTGAATATATTGTAGCAATTCTATTAATACAACTAATAACACTATAATGATAATTATAAATTATTAGAAGTTGTCACAACAGGTTGAATATAATATTGTAATAGACTTGTGCCGGTATTCGGTAATGCGATATCACGATAATGAACATGCACGATATTGTCATCATGTGCACTTCAAAATACTGAGAATAATTAATTTTTCAGAATTCTGAATGCATTTTAAGAATACTTTTCCCCTCAACTGGTCACACAATGCACAACACCAGTGAAAGACGCATGCGCACTCGAATGTAAACAAGCACAGGTGAGAAGTGCATGGCAGAACACGCACTGGATGAAAGCGCACTTTCACTCTCTTACAGCAGATGGCGCTAAACAGCAGAAACAGCAGCTGCACTACTTTCGGTTTCTTGGATTTGAGATTTTAGTCTTTGCAACTTCACAGATCTTCTTTATGCACCAAGAGCTTGTAACACTCCAAAGAGAAAGAAATTTTAAATCGCATCATATGACCCCTTTAAATAATTTAATAGCCATTTAGATTGCTATGGTGTTCATCACAGCGCCAAATACTTAAATATTTAGACTTAATAGGCCATTTATTTTCAAACTTTTTTGCATTTTAATCTGGACTACGACATGCCCTAGACATTGTTTGAAAGTGTTTTAATTCTTTATTGTTTGGTCACACTTTACATTAGGGCTTTATTGTTAACATTAGTTAATTCATTAGTTAAACTGCTAATGAAAAATTCTTCTAAACATTCATTAATCTTAGGTAATTCCAATATTTAATAGCATGTTAAAATCAAAAGTTGCAACTGTGTTAGTTCATGTTAGCTCATTAAATAGTTGTATTTAACATTAATAACTTGTATAGCAAATGTAGCTATTGCTAATTGTTAACGTTAATGCATTAACTAAGGTTAACTAATGAGATCTTATTGTAAAGTGTTACCTATTGGTCTTTATAATTCTTTTGCACTTTAACCTTTGTCTTTGCCTATAATAACTAACATAACTACTAGCAGTACTATATTATTATTATTAATTTTATTAAGTATTGTACTATTAAATATAGTATTACACAACCATAACAATTGTAAATGTCATAATGTCTCCATCGCCTCAGTGGAAAGGCTTGAAAGCTTCAAGTTGATCTTTTAGTTTTGAGTTTTTGAACTACAAAAGTCTTGTCATGCAATAAACGGATAGACGCTACAGCTAGGTTAATAAATGTTCATAATGCCAAGTGTCATTTAACACACCTTTAAAACCTTATCCAACCCTCAAATCGCATGGCCAGGGGTGTATTCCAGAAAGGAGTTTTCGGTTTCAGAACAGCTGAACAGAGTTAGTTCAAACCACTGAGTAGGATGACTCACTGAGTGCACCACGACTATGAAAAGCCATGATCAATGGAGCCCCGAAATTATGATTCACCATGGCAACAGCTCCCGCCAAAGAGACTTCCGCATACTACGGAATACGTCACTTTAATTCTAAATCAATGTTATCAGAGGTGAAAACTGGCAGAAAGGTAATTTATTGAACGAATATTCATTTTCATGGTATCCCACAGATAAAAAAAGGAAAACAATGTGGCAGCAGAAAAAATTAAACAAAAACAATTAAATCAGGTAAATCTTCAAGCGTGAAATGGGTGTAGGCTAACGTTACATGACTTTACAAATATTTCGGCATATATCTTGCACTACCCTTCCATCTGGCATCCTTCCATTCCATACAGTAGCCTAATCAGCTTCATTTTCAGAAGGTGAGAATGTGTGTGTAATCAATGCATCCAACCACACTGGAAATCTTAAAGGAAATTCTAATTATTAGGTTACTTATGGTGCTTTTCCACTGCATAGTACGGCTCGGTACGGTTCCCTTTTGGGGGGGGGTTTCACTGGGTACAGTACCTGGTACTTTTTTTTAGTACCACCTCAGTTGAGGTTCCAAGTGAACCGTACCGTTACCAAAACGTGACGTGAAAACTCTGCTGATCATGGATTGGCCGGAGAGAATCGTCACTACCTGCGTCACTGAACTTGCGACACAAATACAACAGAACCGCTAGATTTAAATCAGCACAGCCAGCGAAGTATCGAACGCAACTGTTTTGAACGAGCGCACCTTTTTTAACAACCAAAAAGTGGCTTTTGTTGTCTGTTGAGGAAGTACAGAAGTTCCTCTCGTTGATAGCAGAGGAGCGGATCCAGCGAGAGCTTGATGGGGCGACGCGGAATGAAAAAGTTTTTCAGGAGTCACGGCAATAGAGGCAGTGCAACTATAACGACATGTGAATAATCCCGCCCACTCTAAAGCGGTACTGAACTGCAGTGGAAACGCAAACCGAGCCGAGTCATACCATGCAGTGGAAAACCGCCATTAGAGGTCGCAACAAGATGTTATCAAGTGAACGCCATTTATGATACCGTTCAAATAAATATGCATGTGGATATGGCAGATAAATAAATTAAATCAAATCCTCTCCTGATGTAAATGTAACTCCCCGCGAATTAATGCTGCAGCCACCTCATCTACAGGATCCAGTGTAAAAAGACATGCCGTTTGTCGTCACATTTACAGTGTCTGCATGATGAAAATGCAAGTGGTGCGGTGAGAAAAATATTCTGGTTTCCATTAAGAACCCCACTGGCAGATAATTTCCCCCAGGAAACAAGACTAAATATTGTATTTTATTTTTTTACATAGAAAATGCATCATGATTTAAGAATTTTTAGATATTTGTACTTGAAATAAGGAAAACATCTCAGCAATAAAAGCATTTTTGCAGAATGAATGAATGAATTCAAACATCACTTACGCTTTAAAAAGGGGGAGGAGACCGAAAGAAACTCTGGGTTTACCGAAGAAAACCTGCTCCTGACCAGGTTAGGTTCACAGAGTAAGTTACTATGGTAACTTAACGAGAGGTTTAAGTTTTGTCTTTTATTGGAACCGAAAACACTGAGTTTCCATTTTCTGGGGTTAACAAACTCAGATTCCAACAAAACCCACTTTCTGTAATACACCCCAGGTACCAATCTCATGTTATTACAACAAGCTTTATTTACCTTTTCACTGTCATCTTCACTGAGCTTATACCAACTCCAGTCAGTAGGCAGGGGGTATCCATGGCTCACACATATTAGGACAGCCTTGTCTTTCTCATTAGCATTTTCAGAGTGTTTGTAGGCCACTACATGTGGGATAACTTACAGGAAAAGTGTAATTATGGGCGAGTACAACAATATACCTGAAAAATGCATGTAATGCATGATGGATAACAGATGCAGTAATCTGTCAGTCAAACTTTCTTACCTTTAACTTCAATGGTCGCATTAACCTCAGGTTCTGTTTGGAAGACACATGCATATAGTCCAGCAGAGTGGTAATCAATCTTTTTAATTCTGCCACAGAAAGAAAAACAAGCAATGAGATTTTATATGCCAATCCCTCGATATAACAACAGCACCGTAGCAATAAAGGTGGAGGGTAGGACAATACAAGTAAAGGAAATTTGAAATATAAAAGTAAACAGCTTTTCAAATACGCCGCTCAGGCATCCCCATGGATATTTTTCCGACCCAGCAGTTCTAATGGGAATTAGGGTCAGTGAACGTGGAGCGCCTGTGAACGTGGAGTCAAATTGGCTTTTAAATCACGCTACTGCTGCTAACAACCCCATTGCACAAACTGAGCAGCTGCATTATACTTAATAGACCTGTAAACACTAAATCTGAGAAACTTATACTGAAATTAGAGAGCTATATTTCACTCTTCTTTAGTGATACAATCATTTACATAAAGTTGAGGAACATACTCGTGTTCAATGAAAGCTTTTCCAGTGGTTGACTCTGACTTGTCAATGGTCTTGCCATTATGGGTCCAATAGTAGCCTTTGATGGGAGAAAAAGGGTTGGTAAGGTTGCAGCTGAGTGTTGCAGAGGTCTGGTTCTGGTCGTTCACCACCTCTGGTTTGGTCGTGATGGCTGCATCTGTCAAGGCATAAAAGTAGCAAAAGTTACACAAACATCAACTTTCATAACATTAAGACTCTTTAACAGAAAAAACTAAAAAAAACTAAAACAAGTGCTCACTGCTGAAAATGACTCTACCAACCTCTGGATTTGATGTGGCACTGTAAAAAAAAATTACATTTTTGGACACATGATGGAACGGAACGGAACATTGCTGTCCGGATGTTCACCACAACGTGTGCTGTAAGGCACATTGTGCTCTATCAAAGGAGAAGTGAAGGTACATTTGGGCTACTGGGAAACATTGAGTGAGAAGTTTGTAATGAAAACGAATGGGAAGAGGAAACAAAATAAGCCAACCAGCAACTGGTTTGGAGACCATGAGCTTATGAAAATCTATTGTGGAAAGAACTAGTTTTTCTCTAAGACCACCAGAAGGGTTAAGCCACACATCTAAAGAGCTTTTTAGATGTTTACTGAAAGCAAGCCACGTTAATGAGACATAAGAGCCCTTTTTCAGAAATAAAGGCCAATTAGTGCGTTTAACACCTTCTGACCGGCAGTAACATTAACCGATCAATGCCATTTCTTTAAAAGGTTCAACTTCATCTCAAGCTCTAGACAGTGATATGCTCAGAGGGCATCAGATTACTATGAAAGAACAGATGGCGCTAATGTAGTCATGTGACCTGGTCTCTGGTCAAAGGAAAAAAAGGAAGGAGGAGGGCAAGGCAAGGGAGAGTCTGAATCTACAGGACTTCCTCCTATACGCTAGTGGAGACGTTGAGATACCACAACGTAACTCACGTTCAAACACTATAATGTTCGCTTGTGAGCGAATCCACTTGACTTTGGGTGGGGTCCTGAGGTCATTGCGGTCGGGGTCGTTTGAAGCACGGCACTCATAAACACCCGTGTCGTTGAGTGTTAAGTTGGTGAGGATGAGTGTGCTGGTGGCGTGGTTGATATAGGTGGCATTGATGTGTACGCTATCCTCTCTCGCGCCGTCAAACAGCTGAGTGACCGTTTCAATCGGCTCTTCACCCTCAATGAACCACCACTGAACTTCGGGGATGGGGTTCCCTATGACCTCGCAATCCAGCTCGGCACGGTCTTCTATGAGTTTCATTTGAGACAAGGGCGATTTTATGAAGCCCGCTGGACATTTTGATGGGTGATTTGGGTTTAGGGTGGACAGTTCATTGAGATGATATGAATAATGATTAGCAGACAGGCAGGCAAAGAAGAAAAGAAA